AAAACTAATGATGTAATGCATGGTGACTAACATAACATAATAAAATTTAAAAAAATAAAAAATAAAAATGAATCAAAAGCCATTAAAAAAAAGAGTACCCAAAGCAATCTATAGATTGAATGCAATTCCTATCAAAATACCAATAGCATTTTTCACAGAACTAGAACAATCGTAATATTTGTATGGAACTACAAAAGACCCTGAATAGCCAAAGCAATTTTGAAAAAGAAGAACACAACTGGAGGTATCACAATTCCAGACTTTAAGTTCTATTACAAAGCTGTAGTAATCAAAACAGCATGGTACTGACACAAAAACAAATAGATCAATAGAACACAATAGAGAACCCAGAAATAAACACTCAATTAATCTTTGACAAAGTAGGATAGAATAAGCCACGGGAAAAGGTCTCTTCAACAAATGGTGCTGGGAAAACTATATGATTACATGAAAAGAATGACAGTGGATCACTTTCTTACACCAAACACAAATATAACTCAAAATGGATAAGAGACCTAAATGTGAGACCTGAAACCATAAAAACCCTAGAAGAGAGCACAGGAAGTAATTTCTCTGACATCAGCCATAGCAACCTTTTTCTAGATATGTCTCCTGAGACAAGGGAGATAAAAGCAAAAATAAACTATTAAAACTACAGCAGAATAAAAAGCTTCTGCACAGCAAAGGAAGTAATCAACAAAACTAAAAGGTAACCTACAGAGTGAGAGAAGATATTTGCAAATGACATATCTGATAGAGGGTTAGTATCCAAAATATATAAAGAACTGATATAACTCAACACCCCAAAAACAAATAATCCAATTTAAAATTGGGCAGAAGACAAGACAGACATTTCTCCAAAGACAAATAGATGGCCAACAGACACATGAAAAGATGTTCGACAACACTCATCATCAGGAAAATGCAAATCAAAACCACAATGAGATATCACCTCACACCTATCAGAATGCCTAAAATCAACAACACAAGAAACATGTGTTGGCAAGGATGTGGAGAAAAAGGAACCCTTGGTGGGAATGCAAACTGGGCCAGCCACTGTGGAAAACAGTATTGAGGTTCCTCAAAAAATTAAAAACAGTAATTGCACTACTGGATATTTACCCAAAAAATACAAAAACACTAATTCAAAGGGACAAAGCCCCCCCCTCCCCTGCCACGTTTATTGCAGCATTATTTACAATATCCAAACTATGGAAGTTGCCCAAGTGTCCATGGATAGATGAATGGATAAAGAAAACATGAAATATATACCATGGAATATTAGTCATAAAAGAGAATGAAATCTTGCCATTTGCAGTGACATGGATGGAGCTAGAGAGTATAATGCTAAGTGAAATAAGTCAGTCAAAGGGGCGCCTGGGTGGCTCAGTCGGTTAAGCAGCTGCCTTCGGCTCAGGTCATGATCCCGGAGTCCTGGGATCGAGCCCCGCATCGGGCTCCCTGCTCGGCGGAGAGCCTGCTTCTCCCTCTCCCTCTGTCTGCCGCTCTGCCTACTTGTGCTATCTCTCTGTCAAATAAATAAATTAAAAAAAGAAAGAAAGAAAAGAAATAAGTCAGTCAAAGACAAGTACCATATGATCTCACTCAGATGTGGAATTTAAGAAACAAATGAGCAAAGGGAACAAAAAGAGAGAGAGAGACAAACCAAGAAACAGACTCTTAACTACAGAGAACAAACTGATGGTTACCAGAGGGGGGAGGGGAGTGAAATAGGTGATGGGGATTGAGGAGTACGCTGGTCATGATGAGCACTAAGTAACATACAGAATTGCTGAATCACTCACTATATTGTACATCTGAAACTAATATAACACTGTAGGTTAATAATACTGGAATTAAAATTAAAAAGTTAATTTAAGAAAAAAGGAAAAAGGAAAAAGAGGCCAATGACCTTGATATGTAGGGTCACTGCAAAAATGAATGCAAATATGACTTTGCCCTTCACTGTAAAAATGAAAACAATCTTAACATATTCACTATTATTTTATTTTCTCTGCTAGTGAAGTCAAACACTTAACGGAGAATCTTTATGTTACTAGGAATCACAATAAAGTTGGCAAGGAGCAAACAAAGCCGACAGAATCTCAAGAGGGTGCTCATCACTGTGTCTGAAGCGCCAGCAGGAGAAAGGCCAGGAGAAAGCGAGAAAGAGAGAGGAGGGAAAGGCCAGGAGAGGGCAGGCAGGCTTTGGCCACCAGAGGCCAAGCGCGGGCAAGGCCCAACAGTAATACCTGGGCCAGGAAGTCCTTGTGGCTGCGCACACTGCGGTGGAACCGCTTGACCAACAATGCCTGCACGTGCTGGAGGAGGAGCCGCGCCCCTGTGTTGAGCTGGCTGCGGGGCTTGGGCTCCGGGCAGGCCTGGCCGCCAGGGGGAGGCGCTGCTTCGGCCGCGCAGCCATCAGAGCCCTGCGGAATCTGTCTGGCCTCTCTGGGGCCCAACCACGGGTGTCGGAGGCTGACGTCTTCTCTTTTCTGTTGAGTGCCACCTGATTTGGAAGATTGAATTAATAAATTTAGAAAAAAACACACGCAGGGTTTGGCTCTCATGTGCCTTTTTTTTTTTTTTTTTTTTTTTTACTGCACTGGTTTTTCCCTTCATTTAAATTAGTAACAAAATGTCAGGCGAGGTAGGTTAATATGCTTTTAAAGATTCTATTTTGGGGGACACCTAGCTGGCTCAGTCAGCAGAGCATATGGCTCTTAAAATCAAGGGTCGTGAGTTTAAGCCCCACATTGGGTGTGGAGCCTACCAAAAAGAAAATAAATAAATAAAAATAAAATGATGATTCCATTTTTTTAATCATCTATAGACAGAATCACCTGAAATACTTTAAAAATTCTCTACAGTAGCTAAAGAGAAGAGGATATAAATGCATTGACATTTATATCAATGATATAATGATATCATTATATCATTGACATGACAGAGAGGTCTAAAACATATAACTAAGTAAAAAAAATCAACCTTACAGAGCAATGTGTGTAATAAGATCATATTTACACTAGAGAGCACGTGTGTCATATACAAAAAATTATATGTTATACATATATACACATGGACATATGTAACAGCAAAGCTCTGACAGAATACCCACCAACTATTAAAAGAAGTTACCACCGCAGGGGGAGAGCTGGATAAGGGGTGGGGATGAAGGGGGAGGGTGATTTTAGCTTTTTTTGTATTATTTCAATTTTTAAACAGCAAAATATATTCATGTGTAATCTATGGACTTAAGTAAAAGTCAGAGTTGACTTGGTTTTTTTCTAAATTCTTAGAGGCCACTGGGAAGTGGTGGAAAGACTAGTAAACTAGGAGTTGGGTGACCTGGGTTTGAATCCTGACTCTTACTAGATGCATAAATTGGACTCTGTCTGAATCTGAGGTTTCTCCTCTGTAAAACGAAAATGAAAACATTTCACAGAGTTGTGATGAGGATTAAACAAGCTAACATGTAAATGTGCTTTAAGAACTACTCACTGCAAGTCACTAGTTATGTTGAGGCTATAGTTTATCATCACTGATTAATGTTCATTTGTAGAACATGTTGCTGGACATAAAGGGTGAGCCTAGAGGACTGCTGGTTGGTCCCAGCTGCTTTCTTAACCCGTCCTAAAGTCCCCCAGCACAAGGGCAGCCGCAAGCCCAGTCACCCTTTCAGCTAACACTCACAGGCACCTGCAACGCAGCATCCTGGCTTCTGCAGCCTCACTCATGACCTGGTGCCAGAGCACCAGTTCTCCCACCTCCTTTCCCTGATCTGGGCTCAGATTTTTTTTTTTTTTAAGATTTGTTTATTTTAGAGATAGAGTGAGAGTGCGAGCAGGGGGAGGGGCAGAAGGAGAGGGAGAGAAGAAGCAGACTCCCTACTAAGTGGGCAGCCCAATGCGGGGTTCCAGATCCCAGGACCCTGAGATCATGATCCCAGCTGAAACCAAGAGTCGGATGCTTAATTGACTGAGCCACCAAGGTGCCCCGTGGGCTCAGATGTGATGTGTGCTGTGGCTGGTCCTCCCTCTGGTAGGATCCTGCTGCCTTTCCTCATGTCTATCCCATGAGCTTTGCTCTCTCTCTGATGCCCCATCCAGACTGGAGCCCACTGTGGAGGCCAGAGCAGAGGGCGCCAGCTGAGGGCAGTCAGAACCCTGTTTGTTCCTGGCTTTCTGCTGCCCTCTAGTGGTCACTGGCTGTGAGCCACAGCTTTAGAGGCTGCCACTGACCCTTTTGGTACCTTGAAACTTGGGACCCCAGTGGATACCTACAAGTTCCTTCAGACTTTGGAGATAAGATCAGAAACTGTCATCCTCTAAAATGGAGCCAATTAAAAAATGCATTTAGCCATCTGAAAAATGGGAAAAGGTCCACAGTGAGAGTGTGGACTTGGTCCTAGTGTGAGAGCTAAAACCAGGGATAAGACTCAGAAGCCTGTTTGATTTTAAGGCAAGTCATCCAATCTGTGTGAGCTCAGTTTCTGTCTTAGCAGCCTCATGAGATTATAGTGACAATCAAAACAATGGATGTTACGTGCTCCATGAAGTATAAAGAGCTAAACAAGGTTGAGGTAAAAGATGATTTGTAAATTAGGATGTTGCTAAATCTTAATCAGAAATCACATACTGTGTTAAAACTTGGCATGTATTAACTCATTTAATTCTCTCAACAATCCTAAAAGGTGGATACTATTAATTGCCCCATTTTGCAGATGAGGAATCTGAGGTACAAAGAAACTAAGTATTTACCCAAAGCCACTCAGTTAGTAAATTGTGGAGCATATTATCGAGATCTGCCCTACTCTAGCAGCTACACTCTTAACCTCTATCCCTGTATGTCTCTTTGGAACATCCTATTCTATGCCCGGGCTGACCAGTCTTCTGATGTCCAATTTATTCTCCTGAGAAGATCTAATTATTAAGGAGTATTTTGTGCTGATGAAAGCCCCAACTCTTGAAAACATCATAGCTTCTGATATATATTTGCATATTTTCATTTCAAGTCTTGGTTAATGTAAGTCTTTGTCTTTGGGTGACCTGGGAGAATTCCATTTCTGTGTCTATAAAGCTGGAAAGAACACCTGGGCTGCTCCCACCCTCTCTGGCAGACTGCCTTTCCCTCCCCACTCTGCCAGGATGCCCACCTCTTCTGGCTACCATGTGACTCACCTGGGCCAGGCAGCACATTTGGGCTGGTGTATTTGACCACTGGTAGTTCTAGGCATAGCTGATAAACAGACTTCTGGGACCACTTACGAAGCAAGATGAAAACCATATATCTTAAGAGTTGGCATCAGAAACTTCACAGGGAGGAAATTGTCTTTGCACAGGAAAATACTGTGGTATTTCTCTACTGAGTAGAAAAAGTAACCAATAGCGGGAGCCCAAGGCATCGAAGGAGAATGGCATGCAGCTTTGCCCATGAGCAGGAGAGAGGAAAACACAGCAGAGAAAGAGGAGGCAGATAGAGGATTTTATCAGTGTGGGAGGATGCCTATTATTCTATCAGAAGCGGCCTGGGTCATGGCAGGTAATCCTGCCTGCATGTCCATCTCCCTATCCCCTATCCTCCACAGGAAATTCACTCATGAACGCTTTCTGTGGCTCTGGAATTTTGGTAGAAATCACAGAACGGGCTAGTTGGGGCCCAGGCTCACACATGTAGAAGAGAGACCCCCAAATCCACAGCAATTATGCAATTATGGCCTCCACACTTGCAAAGTTCCATAGGGCACTAAATGAAGGCTCAGAATAATTTTATCTCTATTTCAAAGAGGCCAGAAGATCCCAGCTGGTATCTGGGTTGTATTCACTGTCACCATTATCTGTAGGGACTCTGTGGGCTGTCACTCATGCAGACCAGACAGGAATGGATCAGAGGCCTGGCGGAGATAAGAGGAGCAGATGAGGATGGTGATGTGGCAGGTATAGGAGACCCGAAAGTGGGATGAGAAACTTGGGGGTGGTGAAGCTCCCAGCCTGACCTCCTTAAGAATCCTGATTCATCTAGTCTTTGCACCCAGACCTAATTACATTTGTCATTTAAAGGAACCAAGAATGCAAAATGTGTGTTATTTGGGGGTCAGATAAATACAATGGAGAAGTATTTGCCTGCTTTGTTGCTTCATGAAATTTTCCTTAGATTTTCAATACAGAGCTTGGGGAGTGTGGTGAGGGAACACACTCTGGAACCATACCAGCAAACAGAGGTCCTGAGTCAGAATCCTCCGTGACCTTCAGAAAAATCTGTCAAGAAAGGAAAAAGAGAGCATTTGGTTTAGGCATTCCATTCTCAGAAAAAAATCTAATCCAAGCTCAGTTTTGTTGGGTGCTGCTTCATAATGGAAGGAAAATATATTGCGATTTATCTAAGAACACAGTCGTCTATAAATATAAAAGTGTGTGCACATAGTGACCACAGCTACGTGAAACATGTTTCTGGATGGACAGAGGCACGAAGAAGTGAGCCAAAAATGAAGATTGTTGCTATGCTTGGGTGGGGAGTTACAGCTTTTTGCCTTTATAAAACGTCCCCCTAATATTAGACTTCTGCAAAGAACCACATTTTCTGCTACCTGAGGGGAGCCAGCTGGAATCTCTGCCTTACCTCTTCCAGGGGAGTGTCAGAAATTCCAAAACTGCTGAGCCCCAGGTCGGCTAGTGTGCCCTCGAGCTCTCTGAAAAGGCTGGTGTATGCTCTCTGCTTGAGATTCTTATTTGGAAGAAGGAAGATAAGTTCTTGACCAATGCATTCCACCAGCTTTGCCTCTGGAACATGGTGTTGTACCATATCCATCAGCTCATTCACATCTCCTAGGACAAAAAAAAAAAAGAGAGAGAGAGACTGACATCAACTGTCTTCCAGAACTGAACCTGGGAGACGGTGAGCCTGCTCACATCCCCTACTTTCTTCCGCTTCCCATTTGAGGAAGGGGCATTTCATTCCTCAGTAGTGACTCCTGCGGAGGACTAATGCTGCCTCCTGTCCGTTTTAGCTTAGCTGGCCCAGTGAAGGGCACTGAGAGGGAGAGGGAGAGGGAAAGGGAGAGGGAAGCACTAACAGCACTCCCCACTAACTAGCTGGGCCAACCTGGCAAGGTCATGTAATGTTCCCCTGCCAGTTTTCTCCTTTGTGCAATCAAATGGTCTGTCCCTTGCAAGCTATGTAACATCACGCAGGTCATACCCTCTTTTTTTTCATCGGTTCAAAGGGGAAAATAATGGCACCCACCCACTTTACTGTTATTTATGAGGACTGGATGAATTAATACACACAAAACACTTAGAAGGACATGTCTGGCGCCTAGGTAAGTATTAGCTGCTACTGTTATTATGAACATCATCTCTAGTAAGAAAGCTCTTATCATTATTGTTGCTCATTCTTATTCACCACAAGCCTGAAGGTTAAGTCAAAGTTCCTTTCATTTTCCTTGTCTGGCCCGAGCTATAGGTGACTTGCCCAAGATGCATACCTGGGACTGGTGCCCAAGCTGGAGAAGAACTCCCCTTCCTAAATCACACACCAATGCCTGGTCTAACTCTTTGAAGGAATGTGCCATTTCCCTTGGGACTGCACCTGCCTCCTCCAACGAACAAACTAACCAACCTTAACACCTTGATCTCAGGAAATGCTGAAGGGGATCAAGAAGCTGTGGAGTGAGACTGGGGCTGGGGGGATGGAGTGTAGGGTGTACAACATGGGGTGTGAGGAAGTGTCCAGTAACAAGTATTTACCCTACACCCTCATACAGTCAGAATTGAATTTTATGCATAAGCATGTATTACTTTGAAATTAAAAATCTGATTAAAAAATTTTAAAGCATGTATGTGAAGAGACAGTTCCCTATTATCTTGAGAAGCAGGTCAAAGGGAGAAGGATTCTAGGGACTCAGAACCCAGGTCTCGTGCATTTCTGCCCAGCAGTCCTCTCAATTAGGGCCACCTGGTGGGTTCTTTGCTTTCTTTGTTTTAAAAATGACCCATGTGGAGGGATTTCATGGCTTTCAATCCATGTCTTTCTCTCGAGCTGGACTGGAAGCCTTGTTTTATGTCAGATTCACAAAGTGGACTCAATTGTCTTTAGCTCTGGGATGACTTCACACGGGCTGGAGGGCTCCTTGGGTGAGGAAGTAGCTTTGCCCTAAACAGCTCTCCAGGGGTCATGTGCATTGTTCTCTGAGGAAGGAAATCGAGCCCGAAGCTGCTAGATTCCCAGGAATTGTGTCTTAGTCATGTGTGTCAGCCTTCCAGGGGCAGTCCTGGAGGGCTGCAGGCTTGCAGCGTCTGCCAGGGAGGTCTGCGCGTTTGTGTGGTGCATGGTTGTGTGAGAGGGGAAAGCCTTGCGAGGAAATAACTGGGGAGCAGAATGATCTTCATTCTCTTATTTGGGGCATAACAACTTACTGTGCTTCCTACAGTTCACAGCATCCCTCTTATAGCAAAATAAATAAATAAACATTTGTTTAGAAATAAAGGAATATTAAAAAAAATTACTCCAGTCAGCAGGCCCTGTTTCCAACTTGATTTTGGTGCATCACTGTATTGGTTTTTAAAAACTATCAATGTCTTGACCAAGATTCCTCCTGGGAGGGAACTCCAGCAAGCAGGGAGAGACCCACAGCAAGGCAGGCTAGGGGAAAGATACAGAGCTGTCACCCTGAAAGGATGTGTTCCTATGCGCCACAGGTTCTGTCCGTGCAAAGAGTGGGCAAGAGAGTGGATGTGATGCGGACCTGGGCGTTTTCCCTCAAATTTCAAGCACGGTATGTAAATAGTGTCTAGTTTTCCGGTTTCACTAGATTTTAGTCAGTAAATTCTCCAGATTTAGAAAAAAAATTGTACTAAATAGAGAACTTTGTTTTTTCTTTGCTAAGCAGATAGTTTCCCCCTTGTCATCAACCTGGGTCAGTACACAGGTTTCATTTTGCTCCCTCTTAGGGATATGGGGTGTGTGGTCTTCCATTTGCAAAGACACCCCAGAGGCTGGATGGAAGTGGGCCTTCATGGAGGACAGCAAGAGTTGTTGGCAAGTACTCTGGGTCCCTGAGGTCAGATCCCTTGGGATGGGTGCATACAGTGAGAGCCTGTCTTCTGCATCTCCCTGGAGGTGGGGGTGCCCCCGACGAGGTTTAACACACCCTAACTCAAGGGAGAACTGCTGGAAAGTTGGGACGCTGAGGGAAAGTCAGGAGTGTAACAAGGATGTGTGACTTGGCATCCACTCCGTACATTCTGACTGTCTGGAAAAGTTCACTCTGGGAGCTGTATGTTACCATGGCTTCACCCGAGGGCCTCACCTGGCACCTACAGTAGCCCTTCTCCAGACACTTAAGTAATGCTGCCTGGAGCCAGGGCAGAAGGACCCAGGAAAGAGGGCTTAACAGGGCTAGCACGAGGAGTGAACAAACACTGGATTCCTTAATTAAGGGAGGAGGCCCTTAGGCCCGGGGCTTTTAAAGTCCCTCTGGGAATGGAGGAGAAAGAAGGTCAAAGAGAAAGATGAGCAACTGCATGACCAAGGGCTTGAGAAATGCACAGTGTTCTCTTTTCTCCCATTAAAACGTTTGACAACAGGATACACCCAACCATATCGAGAGATGATCACCAGACAAGAACCAAGACACAGCCTGCCCCAGTGCGTACCGTCCAAGACTTGTTCCGGAGTCATCTCATCTATGTGGGCTGGACACCTGCCGGAGAAACCCTCAGACGCACAGCTGCAGGTCGCCTACAACAGACGGGCGTCAGTCACTTGAACGACCACATCTCCCTGATGCCGACTGCTATCCCCACCGCACCTCATTTGTTTCTTGCCGCCAAAACTGGTCAACAAATTTTGCCCCCCCACTTTAATATATTACTTCATGTGAGCATTCTGAGGGTGTGGCTATTTGATTTTATCGCGGAGAGTGTGTGAGTCAGGCACAGAGAGTAATAGCACCTCAAAGGACACCCTTGGCTTGTCATTATCATATGACAGCTGTAGGTCGGCCTGTGCAGGACATTCTGCTCCTCTGTCCCCGTGGATGCACGCTGGCCTGTAGAAGCCTACCCAGGACAGGAAAACCTGGAGGCACCCAACCCTTACACTACGAAGCCGGAGGCCTAGGTCATGCTACAAAGTAACCAGCCTGACCACTCGAACAGGAGCAGTGCCTAGTCTCGAGGAGGCCAGAGGACGTTCATAATGCTTTCTCTCACTTATCGTCTCCACGTCCCTGACAAGCAGGAGCAGAGCTGATCAGTTTCGTTTTCTGCGTGCAAAGAAACCAACACTGATAAGCAATTACGGAATTTGCCTGGGATGACACAGTCCTCCACCTCGCTGCTACCCAGACCCGAACCTGGTCTCCTGACAATGCTGAGGGGGGTCTCCGCTAAAGGGTATTGTCTGGCTTCATCATTTTCAGCTGATAGTTCCCAAGAAGGCCTTTCCTTGGCTTTCATTTCCCAGTGGACTTTGGGTTGAATTAGGGAACATAAACACTGGAATGAAACATGGGAAGCTTCAAAAGCCACTCTCCTTCCCAGCGTGCCCAGCCTGAGACGCTTCTGAGTGGCGACACACCACATGCGTGTGTAGGGTTCTGGAGTACCATAATCTCAGCTCGTTTCATTTGGGGTAAAGCATCTCTGGAGGAGGGTTCGCAACATCCATTTATCAAAATCTGCAAAGAGTTTCAGAAACAAAGAAGTAGATTCTGGCCACTAGAGCCTGACTGGGGTGGAGACGCCGGGCATGGCAGCACCACGCCGTGTGCTTCTTCTGACCCAACACGGACTCTTTCCCCGGGCACGTGCATACCTCACAGCCTGCTCTTTGGTTCTGGATGTTTTTCATCTTGCGCACCAAGGTTAAGTAGAAGCCCGTGCCAAAGCAGCTCTTCAGGAAGAGCGGGGTGCCCGAGCAGTAGAGCCTTCCCTGGGAAATGATGGCGATGCGGTCCCCGAGGAGGTCGGCCTCGTCCATATGGTGAGTGGACATGATGATGGTTCTGCCTGCAAAGGCAGAGGTCAGGGGATCACCGGGTAGGCCTGGGCAGGGCGGTGCGGAGAGGATGCAGAGCAATCTCCCTGTGACACGGGCATAAAAACTGGAAGTGGATCAATAAAAACAAGTATTTTTTTTTTTTTTAAAGATTTTATTTTTTTATTTGACAGAGAGAGACACAGTGAGAGAGGAGCACAGGCAGTGGGGAGAGGCAGGCTTCCCGCCGAGCGGGGAGCCCGACGTGGGGCTCGATCCCAGAACGCTGGGATCATGACCTGAGCCGAAGGCAGGCGCTTAACGACTGAGCCACCCAGGCGCCCCTAAAAACAAGTATTTTGCAGCAAAGTCCAGAATACTAGAATAAGAACAACAGCAGCTGATGTTTTATAGCACCCTGCATGCTGTTAAGCACTGTCACATACAGTATCTCTTCATCTGGCATTGGACCTGCTTCCAATAAATCACTGTGTAGGGGACCTATTTATTACAGTTAGTCGGCATCTGTTGAGTTCCATATGTATATTCTCTGGATCATTAAGTACTGCACTTATAATCTTCTCAAAGAACACACACATACTTTGAAACCAATGGGAAATGTCATGAAAAGAAAATGGTAACGAGGATTCCAGGATGGCAAACTGATCGTGGGACCGAGTCATGCCATCACATTCATGGGCCCTCTGAGCTCTGCCTGCCATCTTTCTGGATCTGCACCCTCGGGTTAGAAGGTGCTGGGATAGAGGGAAGCCCGTCCCATTTTGAGACACTGCTATCTGCTGTAGTCCTCTGGAGCACGGGACACATGCACGTCACCCACACACCCGGTCCTAATGGTCATCTGACAGCTACGGAGTTTCCTGGGATGTCTGCATGTGACTTGGTTTTGACTCTTAGTCAAAGAGGAATTTTGCCTAGAGCTGCATGCCTTGTTCCAGACAGAAGGGCTGCAGGTTGAGAGAACCTTTTAGAATATTTGGGGAAGTAGGCTGCTCCATTAGTGACTCCCTGTCTTTATTGGTGTAAACATTTCAGGACGCTTCCCCTGGAACTCGGATTCATTCAAGTCACTGCTCAATTCTGTCAGAGTGTAGTTATGGCTGTTAAGTATGCTCAGTTCCAAAGCACCACGGTGAGAGCGGGGGTCACAGACAAAGGCTGGGTGAGAGCACAGGGCACCGAGCAGAGGCCATTACCTGAGCGGTACTTCAGGAGCAGGTCCCAAATTGAGCGTCTTGAGTAGGGGTCCACCCCTGAGGTGGGCTCATCCAGAATGACAACCTTGGCACCTCCCACGAAGGCAATGGCAACAGACAGCTTCCTCTGCATGCCACCTAGAGGTCGGTACAAGACAACAGAGTCACAAGGGCTGTGGAGGACCAGAGGAGAAAGGCCCAGGGCTGGTGGTGTAAGGGGGGGGGCGGGGCGGCGTGCCTTCCAGCAGCAGCTTGATGTTGCCTCCTTAGAGGTTTGTACAGTGTTCAAACCCTAGTGGTGTACAGGCCTCTTTAAATGCAGAAAAGGCATGAAATGCAGAAATGCAGAAGCAGATAAGACCATTTGAAGGCTGTTCTCACATCTTAGTTCAAACCCACGAACGTCAGAACAAATACAGCCCAGGCGGCTACAAGATAGGGTTCCATGTGGGAAATGATCGAGAGGTGGGTTGCTCTTAGGTGCACAGAGTAATTTTATAGAAGTGCTCCACCTCTTAGGAGGTTTCTTAGAAGCCTCCCCTTCTGCCAGTGTCCTGGAAGACAATGGATTTGCCATCCGTAGCCCTGTCTTTTTCCAATACCAAGCACCTGATAGATCCTGAGCTTCTTCGTTCCTCTTGTGGTGGAGGCCTGTGTCCTCCAACATGGCTTCCATCTCCAGCTGGGCCTCTTCCCAGGACTTCCCTTTCAGCTGGGCATAGAACAGGATGTGTTCAGCCACTGTGAGGCTAGGGGACAGAGCAATGAGAGAGGCAATGGGCTCAGCAATTCCACCTCTAATGATTCACCTTATAGGAACAATTAAGGATGAGCACAAAGTTTTAGCAATGAAGATGTTCATCATGGTGCTGTTTATAATACCAAAAAATAAAAAACAAAAAACAAAAGAAAACCCAGATCCTGCTAAATATCTAATAAGAGGGGACAGTACATTTATATAATGGCATAGTATATAAACATAAAAATTATTTTATTGAAGAATACGTAATGACATGAAAAGATGTTCATGATATCTTGAGTGAAAAAAACACAATTGCTTTAAAAATGGAAGATTACAAAACTGTATGCAGAGTTTTACTCTCCTTTATAATGTTAAATAATGTATCTATACATGCATAGGAGAAAGTTCTGAAAAATCATATACCAAGGTGTGAACCGTGGTTATCTCTGGATGGTGAAATTACAGATGACTTCTGTTTTCTTCTTTTAATCTGTATTTCCTCCCTTCCTTTCTTTAATTAGTATATATCACTTTTTAAGTAATAAGTAAAAGTTTGGGGAAAAAGCAACTGAAAAGCCTCCCGAAAAGTCAGTTTTTAGTGCCTGGCTTAAGAGTGAAAAAAGGAACAATGGTCTCCTCTCTTGGTCCCTGGGAGGGAGTATTTCAGGGTTGAGCGAGGGGCCCCAGGATGGGCCACCCTGTCAGAGAGCGGGGGGCATTACTCTTCTGAGGGGGCAGACCTCAGCTCCCAGTGCCAGAGGCATAGTCTGAGTTTCTGAAGGATACCTCTCATAGCAGGAAGGACCAGGGACCTTGAACACGGGGAAACCAAACAAGAATACTGCCTCCTGCCCCCAGAACTGGCATCCTTGAGCTCAGCCGTAGAGAACATGTGTGTTGGGGGGTTGGTCAGGGTGGCAATAAGGCATGGAGAGGGTCTCAGTTCCTGTTCTACTTACTGGTGGAATAGGATGTTGTGCTGTGGACACATGCCAAGACTCTGCCGGACTGCATCCAGGCTGGTTTCAATGTCCTTTCCCCCAATGAGCACAGTCCCTGATGTTGGGGGCAACAGACCCGTCAGGATGGACCTGTCAAATGCAGGAGTCAGTGACAGAAAAGATGACCTTGAGCAGTACCCCCACTCCAGCGTTGCTGAGGACTCTCACAGTGACTCCTGCATTGGCTCTCAATTGAAACCAAACCATTATTAGCTGTGGGGACCAACAGGTTCCCATACAGGCCTTAGATGCTTCTAAGCATCTACTGTGGATGATCCAGCCCCTACTGTGGATGACCACTTCTGCCTTCTCTGCTTCTATTTATTTCCTAGGGCCCCAGGCGGGCACTGATGGGTCCTCAGGGTTCCCAGCTGCAAAACATTCACTACAGAACATCCCTCCCCAGCTCAGTCATCACCACTCCTGGTGCTGTAGGGGCTCAATTAAAGGTGTGCAGTACGTATAGGTCAATATATGCCTGATATCATTATTATAAAGCATAGGGAAGGATCTTAATGAGAGCTCAGGCATTCAGTATGTATTTATTGATTAAGTGATTGAAGGCAGGCAGAGGAATTACCACCAACAATATCATTTTTGGATTCAAAACAAAAAGCTCGATATCCATGTTGGCCTTTTTTTTGGTAAAATGAGAAATAATGATGCCCACCTCATGGGTTTGTTGTGAGGATTAAATGAGTTTACACTTGTAAAGCACTTAGAACTGCGCCAGCATAAAGTAAAGCTCAAAAGTATTATTACTATTTTTAGGGCCCCTGGGTGGCTCAGTCGGTTAAGTGGCTGCCTTCGGCTCCGGTCATGATCCTGGAGTCCCAGGATCAAGTCCCACATCGGGCTCCCTGCTCAGCGGGGAGTCTCCTTCTACCTCTGACCCTCCCCCCTCTC